TTGTTTCCTGAGTGGTAGCCCGATGTGTTAGTAAAATCAGTGGAAGCTCCGTTTCCCAGTTCCCGCCCTTCGAGGCCAGCCACTCCTTCAGTGTACGGTTGTTTCTCTCCGTTAGGCCATTCGTTTGTGGATGGTATGGGGTCGTTCTGATCCTCTTGATGCCCAGCTGTTGCAAACGGGAAGTAAACTCTTCACTCTCGAAACAGGGACCTTGGTCTGTCAGTATTGTCTTCGGTACGCCGTGGTCTGCAACAATGTGTCTAACTACTGCATCTGTCACGGTTCTTGCACGTTGGTCTGGGATTGCTACGGCGTCTACCCATCGTGTCGCGTGTTCCGTCATCACCAAGAGGTACTGATTACCATTGGATGTCTGAGGAAATGGACCCATGACATCTACGGACCACAAGTCACCTATCGCGGTAACTGGAATCGACTGAAGTGGTGGTCGTATATACCGGTCACCTTTCATCAGCTGGCACCGTGGACATCCAAGTACGTATCTTGCTACGTCTTCTCTCATACCTGGCCAGTACATACTTTGTCTTAGGAGGTCGGTCGTTCTGGCCACGCCTGTATGCGCTAGCTGGTGACATTCTTCTATCATGTCGTGGCGCGACGATTGAGGTATGACAGCCAGCCAGCTTCCGTCGTTCTCTCGCCAGGTCAGAGTCCCGTAGGCATTCACTCTGAGTCGATCCCTCTGTCTGAGTAGTGTGGTTAGCTCCTTACTCGCCGTAGTTTGATCCACTTCTATTCCGTTGGTGATCACCTGTATTACTGTATTCAGCGTATCGTCCAACCTCTGCCTACGTGCAAGTCTTAGTGGGTCTTGTTCTACTGCATGCACTCCGTAAGCGACCTCGGGCAACTCAGACTCATCTTCTGGTCTCGATAACAAATCTGCCAAGACATTTTCACTTCCAGGAACGTGTGAGATCGTAAAATCGTACTCCTGAAGACGCAACATCCACCGTGACAACTTCCCCCGTGGGTCTCTCGCTGTCTTCAAAAATTGTAGCGGCTTATGATCAGTTTCGATGTGGAACCGCCGGCCGAGTAAATAAGGTCTCCATTTGTCGACTGCCCATACCATTGCTAAACATTCTTTCTCTATCGTTGAATACTTTCTCTCTGTGAGGGTCAAAACCCTACTGGCATACTCAACGATTCCCTCGTCCTGTCTTAGGACCGCACCTATAGCGTAGTCACTGGCATCTGTGCACACTGTGAACTGTCTTCCTGGCACAGGTAGTTTTAGCGTCATTTGTTGGTGGTCGAGCAGCTGTTTAATTCTGTCGAATGTCCTCTGCGATTCTTCCGACCAAACAAACTTTGGCTCACCTAGTAGCCTGTATAGAGGGGCTGCTATCTCATTGAAGTTCTTCACGAAGCGACTATAAAACGCTGCTCTACCCAAGAATTGTCTCAGTTTTCTCTTTGAATTCGGGGCTGGAATCGTTTTAATCGTCAAAATTTTCTCCGGCAGTGGTTTAATCTCACCATTTCCCACTTTATGTCCCAACAGAGTAACATTCTTTTTGGCTATCTGAGACTTGGTTTTGTTGACGCGTAGTCCAAACTCTTCGATGCGTCGCAGCACGGCTTCTACATGGTTGACGTGATCGTTTTCGTTTTGACTGTATATGACGAGATCATCACCATAAACCTCCACGTTTTTCAAGTTCCTAAGTAATAGCTTCATCAGTCGTCTGAACGTAAACGGTGCACCTGCTAGTCCAAACGGCATGCGTTTAAATCGATATTGTGTCTGACCCACGATGAAAGCCGTCTTATCTCTATCACCTTGTTTTATCGGTATCTGCCAGTATCCTGAGCGAAGATCGAGAACCGAAAACACATTCGCACCTTGTAGGCGATCTAAAGTTTCTACCACTGTTGGCATGGCACACGGTCTTAACTCTGTCATACTGTTTAACTGTCGAAAATCAACACAGAATCTATACTTCCCATTCGCTTTTTTTACTAACAGCACTGGAGAGTTGTACGGGCTATCAGCTTCCTCAATAATATCATCTTTTAACATCTCTTGCACTTGTCGCTCCACTTCGCCTTCCAGATGACATGGAACTCTTCGCGTTAAAAATGACCTTACTTTCGGATCACTTAACGGAATTTCATGATTCACCTTATCGCAATAACCGTATGGGTCGCCATCTCCAGTGAACAGATGATCGTATTTATTAATTAACTCTGTCACATTGTGTACCGTCGACAGCTTAATCGCTGCTATCTCGCTGGTCTCATACATGTTGATATGCCCGTATTTCGTGATCACCACGTTCGCTTGCGTGTCGATTATGGCACCAATCTCACGCAGAAAATCCGCTCCTAATATCGTTCGCTGTAGTTCGGGTACAACAATGAAAGGAAACGTCACCTCGCAGCCACCAACAACGACCGTACAGTTCGATCTACCCGTGATACGCAACACATACCCGCCTACTGTTTGTACTGTCAATGAACACGGACTAACACTCTTACATAAATTCTTATCTATTAACGACACGGCCGCCCCTGTATCTATCAAACATACTACTTCTCGATCATTCACTCGCAACTTCGAATACAGAGCCCTTTCTCAATAGCCCCCACTAAATCTAGGTTCATACGAAAGAAAGAACAAGCATTATACCGTCTGAAATTTTTTCTTTTTCGCCTTTCTGGGCAGTATCTTCTCCAGTGTCCCGGCTTACCGCATTCAAAACACCGGTCTTTTCTATCAGCCAACTTTAACGCCGCCACTTCCCGCTGCAATGCTTCAATTTTCTGCTCATATTCGTTTGGTTTTGGTTGGTCTATAGCGGCTACCGTTGTGCTCAGCAGCTGTCTGGTCACCTTCGCCAGCTCACTAATATCCATCGGCTGCGTTGCGTTAACCAGTTGTAATCGCTGAGAAATGTGGTCTGGGACACTCTCGATGAATTGGGAAGACAGTAACTGCGCTTCTGATTCTTCATCTAAAGTGGGAAGCGCGCGTCGAAGTAGATTAGTCAGTTTCACCGCCAACACTAGCGGGTCTCCATCAGGTCCAAGCTTCATTGACCGGAACTGCTGCATTGCTAGCTGTCTGTCTGTTTCGCTGTCAAACTCGGACACTAGTCGTTCAACCAATTTCTTCCAAGACGCTGTGCCATTTGACCTGTCTACGCTGTCATATGCAGCCTTCGCTCGGCCTCTCAACAGCGTCCCCAGGACAACTGCCTTCGCCGCCTGCTCCTTGACACCCACCAGCTCAGCAACGGCCTCGAAGTCACGTAAGAAGCTCCGTATGTCTCCTTCTTCAAACGCAGCTGGCCACGGGATCTTCATCTTTTTGGAGGCAGCGACACCAAATGTAACAACAGAAGACAAGGGCTGGCAACAGATCGTTTTATTACGAAAATCAACACGTATTTATATATATTTTATGTGCATTAATAAGGCTTATGCAAGCAGAAAAAGGCAGTCTTCTGATTGGTTGTTTCTCGGAAGTTAAGCAGACAAACACAGTCTTATGATTGGTTGTTTTCGATATTTCTCGGAAAGTAGAGCCATCTATCTGCGAATCATATTTGTCCACATTTAAGTTTGCTGTGATTGGTTGTTGAAACAGCCTTGTTCATATTTTCTCACGGCCCATATTAGTGACCTAGACATTAACGTAGATTAGTGCCAACCAATCGGCTAGCAGCCTGCTCTCACCACACTACTACCTCTTAATTTTTAAGAAGGTCAGCAGCAACATGTACTGACTAACTGACTGACTGACTGAGTATCTTTCAAATGCTATCCAGAAAAAGGGCAGACAATTAATGGTCAGCATGTATTCTACTAAAACTTAAAGATGCTTTACCCATTTGTGTAATGTTAGTGTGTTGTTGGAGTCCTCCTCATCATCATCATCTAGCGTTCTGAAGGAAAACTGATGGTTGCCAACTGCCTGACTAGTTTCGGTATAGAACTGTGCACAGATGTGCAGCGTTTCGAGATGACACTCTCCTTCCATGTAGCACACAAAGCAAGAGAAGGGAGTAACGACAGATTGAAAAGAATAGTAACATGGAAGAAGAATAGAATTTTATTGCATGATATGACATAGCATAAAGAGTGAATGAATGCATCTGCTCCAGCCGTGGATAACGATTTTCAGTCATATTGTCAATTGTCTCCGGTCTTCATTGGTTCTTATCATCCCGAGGACCACAACCAAGCCAGTCAGGATGTCTACAACTCCATATGTGACTGACTGGCTGACTGGCTGGCTTAAACTAACCGTTGTGGATTCCACAGACTGATGAAGCCATGCTTTGATTTGTCCACCCTTAGCTCTTTCCCGACCTGATGCTTTGTCCCATGTTAACTAACGTTTCCTGCCATCGAGGAAGGCGATGGCTAGGTAATTATGCGTAACACACGTCCTAACCATCTCTCTCAATCAGTGTAAGTTCACAGCCTTGCCTATTGATTCCCTCTCTCTCATCTACCTAGTACTCAACTGGTGCCTAACCTCAATATTGCTCACCTCATTATACCACCTAACATGGGAGATAGACCGGAGACACCTATTTTCGAAGACAGCTAGCCAGCCTGCCTTCTCATGTCTTCCGCTTTCAATGGGCATGTCTCACTCACAGCTAGCCATAAAGGAGGAGGATGGAGAGAACTGTTGAGCAGTACATACGTTCTTTGATCGATAGCCAGCCGGATATCACGTCTACTAAACCAGAGATGATGGCGTAGGTTGGTTGGCATATGACTAATGGGCCTTGTATATCCTTTCGGAGATAACATCAGTAGTGCGACTAAACATTGTGTGTGTGTGTGTGTTAGTGTGTGTATATGCTGCAATGTCATCGTAGTCATTGGAAGTTGTTTTAAACCATGCTAGTATAGTTCATGATAATTATTTTTCGATATGTACGAAACCCAAAGGAAATAACACGTAAGTCAGCCTTACCAACTATAGCATTTTCTATCTCTTTTTCCTTATTTTTTAGGATTCCGGTACATCACCAACACAACTGTATCTGAATTTGTTAATCTTAGGCGAATTAGGCCGAAAAGTGTAAGTCTTTTTTTCTCTTGAAACCATACCGATGTCTTTATTACTTAATTACTTTTTAGGTGCTTTTAAAATGGTACCATTTTTATGTACATTTTATCAGTGATTTGCAATGAAAAAGGTGGTATCTGGTAAATTTGCGACACCTTATACTACTCATTTATTGAGATGAGTAGTGTTTATTAACAAGATTTAATAAGATTTATGTGTGACCAGTTCACTGAAGTAGTCAGCGTCAGCTGAGTCAAACCAGATGCGCACCACTTGTCATTTCCTATTCGAGTTCCACTCGAGGGTCTGTCTGCACGTGCTGTCACTTAAGAGCCTCTTGTGTATGTCCAATTCATCTCCTTTTCCTTCTGCATGTTTTCAGGGCAATAGGTTGTTAGTTGGTTCGTTCCCAGGGCTCCTTGCTATTAATCCTTTATGGTCGGTCAGCTAATCCTTGATATGTAGCGAAGTTCCTTCTTCTTTTGTTCTGAATTGTTTGTAGCTGCATAGCAATAGACAATTGTAGATTTCCTGCCTTTTTTAGTTGAATCTTGCTGTTATTATCATAGACGCAGTTGGTTCGCGCTACATGGAGAGCCTTGTTCACTGTCTGTTAGTGTGACATTATGATAGTCACTCTCTAGTTAACTATCTGGATGCCCCACTTACATCCCATTTGCTTTCACATTTCTGTGCTGTGTCCTTTTCATTTCCTTTACAATCCCAGTGAACAGTCTTGCCAACCAGCTTCGTGCACTGTGTGCGGACATTCCATGTCGTGCCATGCTTATTTTTGCTTCCATCCGAAAGGAAGAAGACATACTGGCTGAGTGACTGACTGACTGACTGATTATCCGAAGACTTTCACCAGTCCTCGTCACTTCCCCTCTCTGATTCCAGCGAGAAATAAGTTTGATTTTTATATTTTGAGGTTTATGTTGCGATTGGATTGATTGTTTCGGGGGTAGGACCACTCACTAACTGGTTTACACACCCAACTTTCGCCTTTTTCCCGGGCTTAGGGACTGGCTTGTTAATTGTTGGACTGGTAAACTTACGTAATTCGTGATATGATCAATAACAGTGTTTCTGTGTGTACATAAAATATATGTGGAGAGATATTATCTTCGGATCATTTTGAGACTAATCAACAAGTCGAAATTCCCTCAATTTATTGATTTCATATTAACATATGTATAATTCAGTGTGTTTACTTTTTACCATTCTTTTTGTCTTCTTCTAATCTTTTTTTGTTGTAGCGATTTAAGTTCACGTAAAGATCTTCGTGATTTATTGATCTCTTGTTTATCCTCGACACCGACTAATTCTCCTGTCCATCATCAACATCGTCAGCATCATCATCAACCAATGACACCTACAGGTTTATCAGACACTTCTGTTGTCACATCGAATGGATTTATGGTGACTGAAGAAGTAAAACCAGCTGCTGCGCTCAGTCTTGGCAGATTAGTTGTTGGCCAGCCACAAATTCTTTTACCACCATTGGTTGAGAGTATTTCACAGGCTGTTTCACAGCATATTCAATCGACTAATGCTCCAACGTCAGTTGTCAACAGTAATGGGGGTGGTGGTGGTGCTGGTGGTGTTAAGAGTAATATTAGTCAACATCAGTTATATTATTTAATACAAGCTCTTAGAGAGGTAAGTGAGTGTAAAGTAATTCATAGTGTAATGTTCCATTTTTTTCTGTGGAAGTATTAGTTATCTGATTGGACGTGCGAACTGCTCTTCACTCGAGAATATGGCTCATATTAGCTTATTATAAGCAACTCGATTTTCACCTGCTAATGAGACCCAGGATTTGTATCTTGGTTCTGCCTAATTCAGTCTAAGCATCTTGTCTGTCTGGATTCAACATAGAACTTGGCACCGAAGTACACCAGTTCCAGTTGCCACGTTCCAAATACCACACAAAGGTAGACAAGAAGCTGAGTGAAGAGAATCAATAGAGTTTGACAGGTATAAGAGCGAAACAGAATGGATAATGGCAGAAATGAATATGAAAGATTACAGAGACTGAATACATCTCCGCTGGCCATTGACAACGATTTTGAGCCATGTCATCTATTGTCTCCAGCCATTGATTTCTAGAGTCAGTCCCGAGGGCTCCAACCCGGAAGTCTGCATCTCCCTACCTGACTCAGTTTAACTGTCAAGGATTTCGTGGATTGATGACATGTTTTCGTTTGGCCACCACTTAGTCTTTTCCAACCTGCACCTATCTATATCAGCTAGCAATGCCCGTCGGGGGAGGCGGTGGTTAGGCACGTTGCACAGCACATGACCTAGTCATCTCAATCTGTGTAACTTTATAGCCTCGTCGATTGATTTTCCCTCTTTGCCTGCCCAACACTCTACGCCTAACGTCAACATTACTTACCTTATTAAACCACCTAACGTGAGACAGAGATCGTAGACATCTATGATCGAAAGCAGTCAACCTTTTCATGTCTTCAACTCGTATTGGCCATGTTTCAGAGCCATAGAGAAGGACGAAGCGAACTGCTGAGCAGTACACACGTCCCTTGGTTGATAGTCGGGTGTCACGCCCACGCAAAAGATGGTGAAAGTCAGCGAAAGCAGCTCGAGCTTTTCGGATGCGTGCTGAGATTTCGTCGCTAATCAGTCCGTTGGTGCTGATACAACTTCCCAAATAGGTGAATTGGTCAAAAGGTTCTATCACTTCACTCCCTATCACTAAGCTAGGAGTAATATTACATTATATTATCTCAGCATTCATCACATGTTAAATGTGTAGCTCATGGTCGCTCTATGTTAGGTAGCTTATTTCCAGTTAACCACCACCTAACAATTGAGAATTTGAATAACACAATAATAAAGACACCTTTTGCGGGATAAAATGAGTTCATTTCATTATTGCATATGGTTTTCATTTTAGTTTGTTTATAAGATATAGCACTTGAATGCCATATCTTTTCATCTCGTTTGTGATCTGGGCAGCTTTGCTATTCTCGTACATGGTGTGGACGTTCCATGTCTACACACAGACTTTTTCTTTTGGCGCCAGGAGATTCATCGTGCTAAAGTTTCTGTAGCAACTTTGTTTACAGGGTGGGGTTGCTAGCCTCACGCTTGAGAAGGGGGGAGTTGTTACATTAAAATTCAGTTTTATAGAGAAGCGACCTTGTGGGTTGCTCCCCTTAAAACCAGAAAATTGAAGAATAAAGCAATCAGAACAACACCAGCAAAAGGAAAAATAATTCACAACACGAAGGGCAACCAGCAACAACAACAACAATAAAAAAAAGCCTAAGCAGTATTATCACAGTCAGATAAAGTTAACAAAAATGATACCAAAATCATAGACTCACTGACTTGAGCCAACTTGGACATGTAAATCCATCAATATATACAATTATAGATATTTGTTAGTGTTAGACATTCACAAAATACCAAGCAGATAGTTGTAGGTATTATCAGTCAACAAGATTATATCCACAGATTCAGTGTTTGAAAGGCAAATAATTGCACTACTTTCCGAAGGTTTTTGGGCAAGAAATTCCACAAAAGAAAGAGTTTTATGTAGCTAGGCATATGTAACGGATTCTTCAGTAGTACGCATTCATGGGTTCGAACCATAACCTACTGGTTACAAGGCTGGCGAGCTCGTAGACCATTAAGCCACTGGGACCTTATTCAATGGACAGCCTATGAATTCTAACTTTCACCAATTCATGACGTAGCGCGACGACTGGCAATGTCTCCTCGATGAGTTACTGCTTCACCTTCAACCTGTTGCACCCATTGGATGGGGTCTTGGTGGTTAGTGGTCTACGAGCTCGCTAGCCTCGTAACTAGAAGGTCCTGGTTCGAACGAGGTTGGTGGTTGTATAACATGCCGAAAATGCAGACGAGTCACAAACCGCATACAGGTAGTCAGAATAAACAATTATAACCAATAGCTACTTAATCACGTGTAAAGAAATCAAGAACAACAAAGGTGTGAAATGGAATTTTGACATTGGTGAAAGAGTCAATACTTATCAAGGCAGTCATAAGAATAATATCAATATTAAGAAAGTTAATAACAGTCTCTTTCTGCACACCCGTAATGAGGTTTCACACTTCGGATAATCACAGACCTCAAACTAGGACGAAACAGCTGTACAGTATTTCCATCTGGTTTTCCAGTGGTTCTCTAACTGATGTCAGCTCATGATAAAATCCTCCAACTAATTAGAAATCATCCTGATTCGCTTTGTTTATTCACTACCCTAAAAGGCTGTATCAGCTGGCTGTGCCCAGTTATCGTGCTGTTGTTAATACTACTGAACATTAGGTGTTAACCATAGTTCAGACTGATTTGTTTTGATTTTTGTAAGAATCTACAAATTAGTACGTATGTGCAGTTCTGAGAAATAAATCGACCACGGTGGTGTTTGTGTGACGTTTTGTTTCTTTTTACTCCACTCCAATATACACACTCATCAATGTTCCTTTAGTATACTACTTGTAAGTAACTAATTTGTTTCACTACAATAAACTCACGTTTGTAACTTGACTGGATTGATATTTTTGTAGAATTTCTATTTTTGTGCAATAGTGGTTGATATTTGAAGGTGGAATGAAAATCTGAGTAGCGACAGAATTTGAAAATGAAGGTTGCCTGGGAATGACTGATTCGATACTCTACCATGCTGATTGCAGTATAATATTGATGACTTGATTATAGCAGTAGGGCCGTGTTGCTGAAGTGACACGGCACCAGACCACCTATTTTGATGGCTCATTCTACTTTGTTGATGCCATTATTCCCATGACAACAATACTGCATCGCTTTTTTTTGGTAGCTCATTGTAACTGACCGACTTTAAGCAACTGACTGTCAGTGATTGGACCTCAGGTTCAAATCCCACTTCACTTACTTTAATCTAGGCAACTCGGTTGTTGCATCATCAATCCTAAGCACACAATAAGTAAATTGCTAATAGAATTTGATCAGTGAGAAATCTATTCCAGGTAACTAACTTCTAAACAGGCCGAACCACGGAAAGATACTTTCAACAAAGTCCAGATATGGTAGTTGTATGGTGACATGTCTATCCTATCCAATTGAGTAGGTTTCAGTCGACGAAGATATCTAAACTGATTTCTCCTGTGTGCAAAATTTCTTAAAAATTCGACGATATTTTTATCTGTTGATATAAATGGTAGGCACTCCCTGTCATTTGATGATAACGCAAGTTCGTAGATGGTGACCTTTTTTGAAAATTCCTTTACGTTCCCAGTGGAACATATGGCTTCAAGCTAGAGGCTTGAAGTTTTGGTAGCAGTGATTGTGTTCTCTTTTACAGGGTGGCTTTGGAAGCCTCATGCCCAACCTTCCCTCTTTATCAGTCTTATTACTGGCTTAGCAAGGTAAAGAAGTGCGTCGGTGACCGGGGATGGAACCCGGACCACCTGCCTGGTCAGCGAGCATTCTACCACTGTGTCACCGTCTCATAGTAGATGGTGACTAGAGCAGTGGAACTCAGGATGGGAATTCCGTCCTGTCTATAACTTTTCGGCTGGACGCACCTGTAATATTCCTATTGATTAGTGATGATGAGACATGAACCCCAGTACGGATCGTTTCAGACTGCAAAAGCGTTAAACACGAAGTCACTTGAACCATCATTTCGGTTCAATCACTCAACGGGAATAAAAAAAATTAACCTGAACAAAAGAAGTCGGTGGAGTTCACGTAGTTGTTTTTTTATATCACTGTATTTTCTTGTGTTTGTTTAATATTTAAAAAAAGTCTTTTTTTATTATCATTACGTAAACAGGTTCTTGTAAATCTTGCTGGTTTGGATCCTAGTCATTCATTGAAAAATCATTTAAATTCAATGTGGTAAGCTGATCGGGTTCATTTTTCACATCTATGGTATTTCTCACCTATCACAGTTAATTCAGTAGTGTTTTACCTGTTGTCTGTATTTTTTAATGAGGTTATGCTGTAGTTGTGAACCCTTGTTAGATGATTGTGGTGGCAATCGACAGGAAACGGTGGACCCTTAGGTTTTGTGCGTGTTTGCACTCGCCAGCAAGACGTATACGCATGCAGTCTTGAGGGAAACAAGATTCACTTCCAGGTCATTCGGTTATTATGCAGTCAGAGATGTTACCACTGATCTATTTGAGGTCGCGATTGACCTCATTTAGGACCTTAATGGATAGGATAGATTGATTACCTAGTGTCCAATCAAAAGTAATTGTGATTCTTCCAGCGCTCTGACTTAGTGATGGAGCGTGTGTTGTTAAGTTTACTGAGGCACCGCTATCATTTTGGTCTATTCTAAAAAATAGGAAGAGACCTTTTAGATGAGACCGAAAGGAATCGGATAGAAGGATCTCGGTTCGATCCTCATTCGGGGGAGGGGAGAGAGGTTATGGGTATGTGTAATGCTGTAGAGATGCGAATTAGGCTGCAAAACAGCTGTCAGTCAGTTGTGACTTAACATGAAATTAATCAAATCCCCGTAAACCAACGCTTGAAGATCTTTTTTCCGCGCACATTTGCTTCCGATTTCGGTATTGTTGTCTCCTCTCTCAAAAGACAGTTCTATCACACACTGATAATTGGAGCAGTGTAGGCAGGCTACAGGTAAAAAAGACCTCAGAACATCATATCAAATAACCAGGTCTATTCAAGAGGAGATTAACGCAGGTGACACCTGTACAAGATATTCAAGGGAACCTGATTACCAACGAGGAGAGGCAAATAAAACAATGAGCTGATCACTTTAAGGGACACTTGAATCGACTGTCACCTGCTAATCGCCCATAAATATACCATCAATAACAACAGCATGCACAGAACTGCCTGTCAGTGGACACCAATTCACCAACGTAAGCAGAAATCTTGAGTGCGATCAAGCTACTGAATACCGGCCAGGAGGTCAGCAAAGCCAATGGAATACCTCTCGAAGCACTGAAAACGGACCCAGAGACTACGGCAGATGTTCTCACGCCATTATTACAAAAGGTTTGGAAAGAGGAGAAGGTACCTTCCGATTGGATGAAAGCCTGGCTACCTTATCAAGTTGCCAAAGAAAGGCGACTTAGGTCTTTGCAAGAACTAATATTGTGTGCAAAATTGCTCACAAATGGTAATTTCTCTGTAACAGCAGCACACAAAATGTGGATTTGTTATCTTTTCTTCATATTGTCTCTTTGTAGCCTAAATAGTAGCTCAGTAATGTTGCCTTACTCCGTTTTTTATTGTTGTTCAACAGTTTTCGGAATAATCAAGAGGGACTTCACATTTCAAGTTAGCCCTGAAGATGTATGTGTCTGTGTGTTTGTGTTTTGTCCAGACAGAGAGAAAGAGAGAGAGGGAGAGAGACAGGATAATGAAGACTTTACAATGAAACCAACCAATCAATCATCCAACCCAAATGAGACACAAAAACACTGAAAAATATCTTTCTAAGCTACAAATACTCGTCAATATTTCATAGAAAACTCAATATTAGCTATATTGTTTTTCAGTCTCGTGTCGCGAGTTGGGGGCGAGGAGTCAGGAATACGCTGGACGACCTATGAAAGGATTCTAGTAGGTCTTGATTTCTCAGGTGATATATGTCTAGTGTCACGCAAACCTGGAGACTTGCAAGCGAAAACTGACAAACTGGCAGAAGGAGGCAGCTAGCGTAAACAGGACTCCAGGTGAACATAAAGAAGACGGAAGTGGTGGAGATAACCAACTAACCAACAATAACTAGTACCAATCACCATCATCGGGAGAGATTTCACCGAGGTTGCTTCCTTCACTTATCTGGCCAGGAAGCATCGTTTCAACTACAGGCAGGCGGAACAGATGAAGATGTCAAAGTCAGCCAAAATCTGACAGACAAGATACGCCTTCATCAACCTGAAACCAGTTTGGAATCTCTCACACTCAACATAAGGAACGAGATTCGAATTTTTGGCTCTTCTATACGTGTCAGAAACGTTCAATGCGCGTATGTCACGAAAAGGATTTCCAACAGCCTGTTGCAGACTTTTATCAACAGTTGCCTTTGCTGGCTGACTCCATACTGAAGATCAAATGGCCAGAAACAATAAGTAACAAGAAATTATGGGAACAAACCAACCAACCAAGAGCCGATCGCTCAACAAATATGTAGGAGAAAATGGAGATGGCTGGATTGGGCATACATTGAGGAGGGCACCGAATGACATCGCGCGCAGTGCAGACTGTCGCTTGAGTGGAATCCCAATGGGAAGCGACGAGTGGCTCGTCAGTGAGAGGGTGACATGGAGAAGATTGTGTGAGGAAGAGATGAGACAGTTTGGTAAATTGTGGAGCTAGCCAGCTGAAGAGGACGACAGAAAACAGAAGAAATTGGAGATGTGTTGTTGAAGCCCTATGCTCCACTCGGATTTTAAGGGAATAATAATAAAATAAGTGTTGCGAGTTAATTCGCGATTTGTACAATCTACGCAGTTCCTTCTTTGTGGATTGAAATTATCTAGATCATATACAACATGCGATTTACTTCATATCATCAAAATAGGTAGTCATCAAGAAAGCAGGCATAAATGACATGGTTGATATCCTACTACTGGATTGATTGGTGGATGTGAGAGAGTGGTATCCAGCTACTCATATTACAGTCAATCAGTAGTACATAAGTACACTGTGAAATTTATTTTTTTATTTCAGTGTTATTGATATGACTGCTGATAGTGCTTAGGAGTTTTTGTGTTAACGAACTTCCTGCCTAATTGATTTGCTAGTCTACTGTTCGCGCCACTGTGAGCAACAACAGTAACATGATACGCTACAACCAAACCTGCGACACACGAAGACAAGGCGAGAGACCGTTGACGTAGACAGCTTTTTCTTACCGTCTCGAATCAACAACGAAAAAGGGTTCACAGCAATTGTTTTAAATGGCCCTGAGAGATATTAATTACATTGATTGGTTAAAACAGTCAATAGGGTTCCAAGGTTATCAGTGTGTACGTGCGCGCGCGCGTGTGTGTGTGTGTTCGGGAAATTGAAACAACACCGTACTGTAAAGATAAATTGGTGTTCATTGTCATTCTTCGTATTATTCCAAAAAAGTCATAAACGTTTGTCTTTATCATTTTTCTTCTTTTATTCTCCTCTTCCACTCTAAACACACAAGGTCTCTGTTACTAGCCTGTGCTAGTCTATCTGAAGAAGGTACACGTAATCTTGTTTCAGAATGTCTTGGTCGACTGACTCTAGTTGATCCTCAACAGCTGGTTGATCGTTTACGCCAACAGGTAATTAAACACACTAATACTTTCTCTTTTTGTTCATTTCTTTTTTTGGCTCGCTTACACATTCTATCATTGACAGCCTAGAGGCTGAAATTACATCTAATGTCAAGTACCTTGGACTGAGTATTTCCTTCCACATCCTGCTAGTTACTAGAAAGATGTTTCGCCTAACGTTCTACGAAGTTAAGGCAGTCTGGTATAAAGCAGTCTTTACTTTCTCAGTTTGTCAATTCTTGTATTCTATCCAACTCCCTCTTTACTGCTCCCTATTAATCTTTCCTGGACTACTTAAGAAAGACTTTGCTTTGCTGAGAAGGACAGGCACTAAAAGCCGTTAGTAGGGCAAGTGGGGTATCGTTAAACCAACTGGTTAACACTATTGTGGATAGACATATAATGTCATGTAAGGAAATAGCGAATACCACTATATTGTCAGACCCCGAGCATCCTCTCTACATACGCAGCTGTCTCCTTGTATTTCATCTGGTAGAACTAGAAGCAGCTATAGGAGGCTGGCTATATGCTAGGACTACCAAGTACAAAAACTCCACAATACCATATCTGGCACAGCTGTTATGTGATGAGAAATCCGTTAGGTATGATACGATAAACTTACTGCGGCACTCTAACGAATAGTTCCCATTAGTTTTTGTTTTCCTTTCTTCGTTACTATTACACTATTGTTGTTCACATCTTCTATTACACACTAATTTTATATTTCATATCCTGTGGTGGATTGTTTAAAATGTAAACGCAACGCTGTTCTTTTTATTTCTTTTCATTTATCTATTTTTTTGGTTGTTGTTTTTTGTTTTAAAAATCTTATAAAATTTATCAGGTAATTGGATGCAATATATTGTAATGCGCGCTGAAAATTCCATACGTGTACCACAAACACTGTTTGGAATAAAGCTGTTATTATTATTATTCTAACATTATGAGAATAACTTCGGGATAAATAATTCAGTGTGTATTCTGGCTGTTTTCTTGTTAATATTATTATTATTATTAATATTTTCATCCTTTTGGGTTCCAAGTGGAATCATAATACCATTTCATCTTGTTCTCTGCAGTCATTTTTTTTATCGGCACCAAAATTACCCATGAGCTCTTATCTCTTCATGACAGGATCTTCTGCACTTGCCGTTCCTACTCGAATTGTACTCAACAGTCTTAAGTCCAAGATTTCTTCTTTTGTATACTTCAGTTACAACAGAGAGTATCTTCAAGTGGACTTCAATTTTTATTGTAATGAAGCCGTTGAATAATAAGATGATTAAAGCATACTTATGAGTTGGAATATATATATATATATATATATATATATATATATATAAGGTTTAGGATTTAAATTACTGGAGGTGGTGGTGGTGGATGGACCGGTCTGATTATCAATCACTAAAAATTCCTACAGCACCATTAAAAGTCTTTTCTCTGTCCATCTATATTGTTTTGTTGATTGGCAATTCTACTTCTCTGTTTACACGATACTGTCTACACTGCTATTTTTGATGATGTTCACTCTTCTGTGTTACACAACTGTAAAATCCATTCACAACGAGTTTGTAATTTTTTGTTTTGTTTCATTACTATTGGTTCATAGGAAGCACTTCTTAGCACATATTGCTTCAACTATCTCAAAAACTCTTTGTGAACTCCATATTAGTTTGTTTATTAGATGTATCCCACACAGTGAGTGAAACAGTATTATTATTTAGTGGATGACGTTTCGAGCAAAATGCATTACTGTTCATAATCATCTCATCGATTGTAATCACATGACTTTGAAACTTGGGTTTTATAGTTTTCTTTGTTTTCTCCTATTTGTCGTCGTTGGGGTAGTAGAATTTCCATAAATCTGGGACAGGTGTTGAATCATTTCTATTACACGTGTTGATTTGCAGTTGATTCGATAAACAAAGCTTCTGCTGTCATCAATCTCTCCCTCCACCAGGCTGTAACATTAGATTTTAAAACTGTCATCCTATTCCATCCTATTGTATGGTTGTGTGTAACTGCATGTAGTGAGTGCTATAGCTGAACTATTCTCTAGATTTCTTATCTTATTTGGGTCAACCAATCTAGACTTAGCTAGGTTTTTATGTTCGGCTAGTCTGACTGCCCCTGTTCTATTAGTTTGACTTATGAATTCGACCTGACAATCATTGCAAGCAGGGTATTAGATAAACTAAATTGTTTTGTTTTCTATTGGCTCCACAGGATCCTTTAACCGACAAAGCTTGTTTCTAATTGAGTTTGTGGGTAGTTTGAATGCCAGTCACTTTTATTCCTGACTTGTTAAGAATTCTCCGCCGTAAGGTTTCCGAGGTTCCTTCCTTGTATGGAATTACTGTTGATGATTTAGATTCCTTTTTGTTGGTGTCGTCATTAATACTATCATTATCACTATTACCATCATTATTATTGTTATTATTATTATTATCACTATCACTACTATCATTATTTATTTTATTTTTACATTTACTTACATATTTCTTGACTAATTTATCCGGGTAATTAATAAGTTTCAAGGCTTCTTTTATGTGTATCACTTCCTGTCTTAGATTTTCCTTGGTACTACTTAGTTTTTGTGCTCTGTCATTTAAACATTTCACCAATCCTATTTTTACTGACATAGAATGGGATGATCGGAAATCCAAATATCTGTTTGAATGTGTGGGTTTTCTGTAAACACTAGTGTTTAGCTTCCCATCTTCTTTCCTTTTTACGTTGCAATCTAACATTGGAAGTTCCCCTTCCTGACTTTCCAATTCATAAGTGAATTGATGTGTTCGAAAAATCTATATCTTGTGTTCTAAGTACAGTGAATGTGTCATCTATATACCGCCACCATACTTTTGGAGTGGGGGTGAACGTTTCAATCACAATCTTTCCTCACCTATCCATGAATATATCTGCTACAATTACTTACTACCACAGTGCCCAAGTTTTACACATATATTAACTCTTTGTGAATTTTTTGTCGGTCTGGTTTTTCTATTATCGTTTCTTACTGTCTTACTAGTGTTTGGGAACATCGCGGATTAAGGAAGACAAATTTTGCAGCATAATAACTTCTCTTGATAGCTTTGTCGAGTCTTCTTATGTCTACTGTTTGTGCACATCATTTCCTTTGAATGGCAAATTGATATATATATATATATCCCGTCCATGAAAACTTTCTAAATAAAGAGCTGTTCCATGAGCCCTTTTTTCATTAGAGAAACATGTAAGAATTTAATGGTATCATTTTCGTCGTGTTCTGTTGTGAAGTGAAGTTTTGAATTGCCTGAGTGAGTTGAATTTTGTCGATAGGCCTTCAACATTTGATTTGCTTTCACAGGCAATAAAAATTACTCAAGTATTTGTGTTTCAGGGATTTTGTTTGATTGGATGAAGGATTTCATCATGAGTTGACCATCAGTTAGAGGACCATTGGAAAACCAGCTGGGAGTACTGCACAGCCAGCTGTTTCGTCAGACTATTTCAGGGCTCTTCATTAGTACGTATCCACCACAGGGGTTTCCAACCCAGGACTGCTGTCTATGTGTATATTAGAGTAGAGCCAGAGAGAGATGAGGATCTAATTGAAAAGTAAATATTTTTTCTGTTTTCTAAATTGGACTACGATAATCTTTGGCTTCTAGAGCATAATACTTCACGATTACTTCCTGTTACTTTAAACATTGTCGAGTGTCCTTGAATTCATTGAAAAGCTGTTATCGGGGAGTGAATAAATTCGTTGATTTGACGTCAGCTTAATCGAAATTACGTCATCTTTATACTAATGCGACAACGTACTAGTATATAGCATACGTACTGGATATAGCATATTAAAATGTAGAATAAAAACTGCCTCACAATGGGGACAAGGCCTATATAAGATTCGTATTCTCCGTAATGATCTACTTAAATATCACTGAGTAGCATTTTGAAAATGTACAATATATAGCGTTAAATTATTTTCATAATTGTACAAATATTGTTTGCCCGAACCTAAGTTAAAAGTGCGAATAATGTTGAAGTGTCCATAGTCTTCAAAATGTATCCGTCATAAGGGGGGGGGGGTCGAACCCAGGACCTTCTGGTTACAAGGCTTAGCGAGCTCCTAGACCATTCATTCAGCCACTGGGACCCGACCCAATGGTCACCGCATGAATTGCAACTTCTGCCAATCCGTGACACAGCGCGACCGTTTCGTAATGTCTTCTTCGATGAGTTATCGCCTCAACCTGTCATACCTAACTAGGCTGACGAAACAACTGGTTGTACAGTACTCCCAATTGGCTTTCCAATGGTTTTCTAACTAATGTCAACTCATGATGAAATCCTCCATCCCATCAAATAAAAATATCGTCAGCATATCCGTTTGTTGTATATGCTGTTGCAAAGTAACGGCTTCTAGGCCTGACAAGAATAAATATGCAAAAAGTAGTCCCAAGGTGTTTTCCATCACAACATTATCAAATAGACATAATATATGCCCATCGAAATGAAATTGGTACATAGAAGCTGAATTGTAATTCAGCTTATCTTATTTATTTAATCCGTCATACTATCTTTCCCTTATCTAATATGAACATGACCTGGAAAGCATTCACACCCATCGTTGTATATATATATATATATATACCTGTATGTAGAGTATTCATCTGAAGATTTTGATAAATTCATTAAATTGAGCTTTTTTGTATTTTTCATTTTCCATGACCAATTTTACTGTCTTCATTTTTACTTGACCATTTACTTACAGCTTAACTCACCTGAAGCCTCTTCATCGGTGTTAATGCGTTCAACACTGGTAACTGCTGTCAAATTTATATTGATTGTAACCGATTTGGATTCGGCTTCATCATCAGCATCATCGTCGTCGTCATCTATAACACGATATGCCAGTGGTGGACGTAGTCGATGTGATATCTCAGATGTTCCATACTTTTTATTAAATCCATCTTCACAAGATTCCAGCGCATCATCTTCTGTAATCAATGATGTTGAATCCGCGCTGAAAGCTGGTAATCCACCTGCACTGATTGATTTCCTTGGTCGTCTTGCTGATCCGGAGTTATCTGTTAGGCGTGCAGCACTTGTCGCCTTGAATACAGTTGCGCATCATAGACCTGGTCTTGTTCGTCCTTTGTTGAATGTACCTATCCAGTTGCCGGGTACTTCACAGACATCCACTCTACTAGATATGTTATGCACTGAAACAGTTGTTCGCAAGGAATTAATTCGTGAAGTTGAAATGGGTCCATTTAAACATCATGAAGATGATGGTTTAGATTTAAGAAAGGTGAGAGTTTGTGAATTGTTTAATCCTTTTACGATCACAATTCAATCTGTTGATCATGGTAGTATGCATAAGAAACTGCTGGTTTTTGTACTGACCCCTCTTATATAAAATTTATCATCCCTTTGAATAAAAAGAATTTCGTGGAAGTAGTATACTAGTTAACTATCATAAGTAATATGTTTGTGTATTTATTATCAATTGTCATTATTCCCTTGGGTTCCGAGTGGAACATAGGGCTTCAACAACATATCTCCACTTTGTTCTATTCACTGCTGTCCTCTTCAGAAGGTTCCACGATTACCCATAATATCTCATATCCTCCTTCTCCTCGCCACACGATCTCCTCCATGTCACCCTTACACTGATTACCCACTCGTCGCTTCCCATTGGGTTTCCACTTGAGCGAGCGACGGTCTGCATTAAGCGCGACGATCTCCTCAACGTGTACCCAGTCCATCTCCATTTTCTCCTGCATATTTACCAAGCGATAGGCCTTTGCTTGTTGGTTTTTTGCCAGTCAGAGGTTGTTGTTGTTAATCCTTTCTGGCCGACCAACCATTTGATTGATCTTCAGTATGGAGACAGTTCACATCACTTCCATATACTGTCGCAAATTACTAACACTTCTTCTCATTGCATTGGCTACCTTGGCAGCCTTTCCAGCCTCATACATTGTACGTACATTCCATGTCTCCATTCTTGTTCTTTCTTTCATCGAGGGAAGACACTCCGGTTGGGTTACTGGCTTCCCAACCCGCCGTCATTTCGTCTCTCCGATTCCACGGACTTCAAGCTTGATTATTATAGTTTCAGTAATGGTGGCAATTTTTTTTACTGGCTAAGCGCGAGGTTTGGGATTTGTGTAGGTCGTGAATCGAACTTGGATCAGATGCTGCATGACGGGGGAACGTCTTCGTCCTACCATTGAAACACTGACACAAGAGATGTGACGCGTTGGCTGAGATCTAGCTTCTAGAATTATTTGTTCAGCTGAAAGCAGTGGTAATGATTCTTTCTAGGACATTAAAGCAGTGTGTGTAAAGGCATAGTGTGATTGAGTTTCAACATAGAACATTGCACAGAAGTGCAGTAGTTCAAGTCCTCATACTGCTAATAGTATACAAAGGATAGAACTATAATTCGCAGAATTGTGATGCAAGGAGAAAGAATAACACTGAAAAACATCTAGGTTTTAAATGCTCCTGAGTGGATGGTTGCGTGTTGTATCACCAATGGTCTTCAACCTTTAAGTTCATAGAGCATGACTCTAACCAGGTAGCGTACACTCCCCTACTTGACTATTTTAAACCAACTAACAAAAGCTTCGTGGGTTATTTACAGGTTTTGGTTTGATCACTCTTAACTCCTTTTCCAACCTAATTCTATGTCAGCTAACATTGCCCGCCGGTCGAGGAAGGCGATGACTAGCCATTCATGTGTAACACATGTCCTAACCATCTCAGTCGATGTAATTTCACAGCCTCGTCGATTGATTTCCCTCCCACCTACCTAGAACTCGACGCCTAACCTCAATATTGCTCACATTATTATACCAATTAACACGCGAAATAGAGCGCAGGCGCCTATGATCAAAGACAGCTAATCTGTTCATGTCTTCCACTCTCATTGGCCATGTCTCACAGCCATAAAGGAGGACGGAGTGGACTGATGAGCAGTACACACGCCTTTTGGTCGATATTCAGCCGGATATCACGTCTATTAAGGCAGAGACGGTGTAAACTAGTATATGATAAACTAGCCTTCTATATCCGTGCTGAGATTTCGTCAGAGATCAACCCGTTGGCGTTGGCTGATGCAACTTCCCAAATAAGTTAAGCAGTCAACGTGCTTTACCACTTCACTCCCTATTTCTAAACTAGGAGTTAGTGTCGTCCAGTCCTCTAACATCATCTTACATTTGGCAGGAGCAAATCGCGTGCCAAACATTCGTAGATTGCAGCCCAAGGTGTTCAGAAGACTCTGCTCTATTTCGTCAGTGTCCTCGCCTAGAAGGACTATATCATCTGCATATTCTAAGTCAACGAGATTATTCCATCCCTGACAGCAAGTCAATCCCTGAGTCGCTGAAGTGAGTTAGGGTTAAGTCTATTAGTACATCTATGATGAAGTTGAATAGAAGTGGGGATAATGGGCGTCCCTGACAACGGACACCACTAGTTGCCACCACTTCAGATGACAACTCGCCGTAAGCCCTCACCTGGCTGTATGAGTGTTATGTAGTGGTCGAGAATTTAATAGTCCTGACGCAAGAAAGCGGAAATCAGAAGACCACTAGGTTTACGATGATACTTGTATTTTCCCAAACAAGGAAAATCAATGTCACACAAGAGTGTGTGAGAAAATAGTATGAATGTCCGAACAAGTGTGTGAAACAAGTGTGTGAGCGAATATTCAAGATGAACAAATCAATAGACGGTCTTAACATGATTGGCTAATTATAATGGAATATCGATCCATATATACATAGCAAAATATAACAGACTGTCAAAAAAAACATATTATATGGATACATATCACCAAGAACAGACTGTCAAACAAAACACACATATTATATGGATACATATCAATGAGTACGAGTAGAGTACCTTAATCAGTGCAATGTATTTTCTCGGAATTCCCTTTACAGCCAAGGATCTCCAGAGAACCTCTCGGTCGACAGAATCGAATTCGGCCTTTAGGTCAAGGAATATAATGACTGTTGGGCGCCGGTAGGAATGGCTATGTTCTAGAATCTGTCGGAGGGTGAAGATATGATCAATACACCCTCTTCCTGGTCTAAAGCCTGCCTAGTTCTCTCGTGTTTGTGCCTCCCGAGCACCACTTAGTCTACGCAATATTATTGAGCCTAGGAGTTTAGATACTATATTAGTCAAGCTAATCCCTCTGTGGTTACCACAAGAAGACTTGTCTCCCTTCTTGCATATGAGGATAATCAGTGACTTACACCAACCCGATGGGACTTCCTCTTATTCCCAGACGCTGCTTAGAACCTCAGTTAGTGCAGACATTAAACTGTCTCCACCGTACTTAAATACCTCTGGAGTCATTCCATCAGGTCCCGGTGCTCTGCCTTATTTCAGACACCTTTAGTTATTTTAGTTAGGGATGTAGGACCTGTGTCTATATCCCATTCAGGGAGGTGTTGGATGTTAGGCAGGTTGACCGTGGCTGTGGGCCAATTAAACTGCTCCTCATAGTGTTCTTTCCAGCGTTCCAGTCGCCTATCCTGGGAGCTATATCGTCTGCATATTGTAACCATCTTTCTGCTTCAGGTACCCGAAGAATCAATCAACTTCCACGGGGTGGTCAGCCGGGAATAACAACGGCCCACACACACTTTTAAAACCACATGAAGCCTTCTTAAACTAATGATTTATCCCTGGAAGGTTAAATGTGTATAAAGAGCTAACATAACTTAATTCCTAATATATATTCTTTAATCAGTTTAATTGACCAAGTATTTCTTTGATATTCGTATATATGTATGCCTCTTTGTAATTTTCTATAATATCTTATGTTTCTCTTCCTCTCTCACTCTGTCTACAATATAGTGTGCATTTGAGTGTATGTCCACTCTACTGGAGACATGTTTAGACAAGTTGGTCATTTCAAACTTTTTAGAATCCTTAATTGATGGTCTACGAGACCATACAGATATCAAGTTGTTATCCTATCAAATACTACAACGTATATCAATTATACAACCTTTGGAAATTTCAGCGAGTAAGTTGACTGTTCTTATATGGAGCTTTCAGCTGCACATCTCCATTGTATTCTGTTATCTATTGTCTTTGCTAGCTAACTCTACTTTTGTCCACCAGCTTTCAGTTACTCCGCCCCCCCTACATGACCGTCTGACTAACCCCAAACTCGTCGATTCCACTCGAGGATCTACCTATCCAGTGATGCCGACAATCGATGTTCGATTGCTCCTGCATATTTCTTGAATAGTAGGTTGTTTATTGGTTCGTTGACTTACTGATTGCCATAGTTCCTGGCCAGGTGGAGACAGCTGGGATTTTAACTTTACAACCTGTTAGGAATATTTTCGGTGACGCTTTCATCAAGTCTCTGAGCCGTACATAAAAGTCCTGATATGACTTGACATTACCATTGAATATTCAAATGTTGTTGCTTGTGCTGATTACTGCAGATCTCCACCCTGTTTTCAGGGCAATGAGCATCTCTCTTGCCTTACCGACTCGACCTTAACTGTCTGTGATATCCTCATTCTTGCCGCCTATAAATATGCTGTGTATACCATTCTTAAGATTTCTCGATATAATGAGATCCTTAACATTATTAGTTAAAATGTTTCAGTCCAAGGCACATTTGTTTGACGATGGTGGTGTGGCTTATCAGTAGGATCCCCAGGATGGGCATTTCACCACACACTCGTAAGTGGTGGTGATCTCACTTTGAAACGATTAGTCATTAGTATGTTGAAATGAAACCACTTGGATACTTTTGTGATGAAAGCTGTAAGACAAACTTGTAGACAGCAATTTACATTAATTTTCACGCCATGAATCGGGGTATTGAGAAAAACAATAACAAAGCTTAACCCTGAGGAACTCAACAACCAATCACACATCAGACTTAATGTGTGCAAATACGATTCTCAGATATATGGTCTGACTTTCTAAGAAACGGCCGCAAAGAGATGACAGAATAACCTTGAACAAGAAGACAACCAATCAGAAAACGTTGCTTCTCTGCTAACAATAACGCTTATAATTATGTACATAAAAATCTATAAATATCTGTTGATTTTCTCAATAAACAGTCTGTTTCTTGGCTCTTGTCCTCTGTCGTTACACTTTGTCTTTATGACTAGACGGTGACCTCTCACTGTGTATTATCTATCCTTCACGTGATCTTCTCCATGCCATCCTTGAACGGTCAACTTATTGCCTCATGTAGATTACACTCGAATGGTCTAGTGTGTTGCACACGGTGGAATGCCTCTACAGTGGATGTCCAATCCTCCTCTATATTTCCCTTTTGTATATTTCCTTGGTAACAGACTGTCGATTGGTTGGTTCTCTGCTAGAGTCTGTTTCTGGCAGTTTGATGTGTAGTATCGAGTAAAGGCTCAATAGTTAAGGAATGCCTACTTTTTAACGTTTATACAGTAACTCTGTATTATTATTATTATTATATCCTATCACCTTCCTGATGTTGTTTCCCCCTCAAGAAATGGAAATCTTATCAGTCCCGTTAAAAGCTGTTCTCTTATCGAAACCAAAAGATGATTGGGTGAAACAAGAAATGGAGAAAATGCAAGAATTAAACAGAAGTGCAATTGGATTAATTGTCAGTTTAAGAAATATTGATGATATTGGTAAGTCCGGTCAATAAAACTATCCATACTTGAGATAACTGTGATATTTTTTTAAGCCTATGATTGGATCGTAATACTCTTCTAGAGAGAGAAATGTTATATTCACAGTATTTATTTTTATTATCCTCTTGGGTTCCGAGTGGAACATACGGGCTTCGGCAGCAGTACATCTTCATTTTACCCCGTTCTTCGTAGTCTTTTTATTTTTTAACTGGTTCCACGATTCCTCATAATCTTCCATTGCATCTATACATGTTGTCTCATCCATGTCACTTTCGGACTCACAATCCAACTTGTTGTTCGTCATACAAGTTGGAATATTCGTTTGGCAGTAGAGTGTTGGTTGGTTTGTTGTTGCCAGTGTTCTTTATTACTTATCCTTTCTTGTCGGCAATCTAATCTTCAATATAGAATGAAAGCAGCTGTTGGTGGGAGTCTCTAACCTGCCAAGTCTCTTAACCATATTATTATTATTATTATTGTATCCTTTAGTTCCTAGAGGAACATAGGGCTTCAGCTGCGCACCTCCATTGCCTTCGGTTTTCTGACAACTTTTTCACCCCGCTCCAGGTCTGTCCACATGCTTTCATCTCCTCCTCGCATGACCTCCTCCAAGTCACCCTTGGACGACCAACTCGCCGCCTCCCTTTTGGGTTCTACTCGAGGGCTTGTCTAGTGATGTCACTTGATGGTTTCCTCAGCGTATGGCCAATCCATCTCCATTTCTTCTTGACTATTTGTTTCACAATCGGTTCCTGCTTAGTTGGTTCGCTCATTGCCAGAGATCCCTGTTGCTGATCTTTTCTGGCCGGCCATCTGATCTTGAGTGGTATTGAGCGAAGACAGCTGTTAATGAAGGTCTGAAGTTTGTTTGAGATGCTCTTTATGACGCTCTGGCCAAGTCTCTGATCCGTATAGTGAGTAGCACTGACTTCACATTGAAGTTGAAAATCCGGATCTTATTTTTGATGGTGAGTGATGTTGACCTCCACACAGATTTGAGAGTAATGAAAGCTTGTCTTGCTTTTCCGATTCTGGCTTTGATATCCTCGTCAGTTCCGTGAGCCTGTAGTTGAGACGATGCTTCCCAGGTAGGTGAAGGAGGTTGTTTCTTTCAGGTTCTTCCCACTTATGCTGATCGTTGTCTGTTGTTGTTGTTGTTGCTGTTGATGTTGGCTAGGAATCTTCATCACCTCTGTTTTATCTATGTTCACTTGAAGTCCTATCTTTGATGCTTCTTCTGCCAACTTGTTACTTTTCACTTGCATATCTTCCAGTTTGTGGGAGATCAGACATATATCATCGGCGAAATCCAGATCCTCCAAGTCTTATGTATGAGTCCATTTTATGCCTGTTCCCTCGTTGGTTGACGTTGTCTGTCGCATTATCCAATCTACTGCAATCAGGAAGATCATTGGTGATAGTAGACAGCCTTGCCTCACTCCCGTCCTCACTTCGAAGGCCTCTGTAAGTTTCCCGTTGTGGATTACTTGGCATGCAGCATTGTCGTATAACTGTTGGATGAGATGTATGTGCGTCGGTGGCACAGTGGTTAGGACTCTCGCCGACCATGCACATGGTCCGGGGTTCGAGCCCACTCCAGCGCACACCTGATACCTATGGTCGGCCTGCAAAATTTGGGCTACCGATATCCATGCTGAAAATTCCATACTTGTACCAAAAATACAGTGTGGAATCAAGCTGTAAATCAAAAAAAAAGAATCAAAATATAATTGTCGATGGAACCCCGTAGTAGCGAAGTAGTTTCCAAATGACCTCTCGATCGACGCTGTCGAAGGCCTTTTCAAAGTCGATGAAGTTGAGTGAGGTAGAGAGGTGACTGCCATTCCAAGCTTTGTTCAATGATGATCCGTAGAGTGGCGATTTGATCAATACATGATTTGTTTCTCCTGAATCCGGCCTGTTCCGGACGAAGTTTTTCATCTAGGGCTTGTTTGATTCTCTCCAGAATGATGCGACTTAGTATCTTGCTTGGAATGGACAGAAGCATAATTCCACGCCAGTTTTTACATTGACTTAAGTCTCCTTTCTTTGTTAGTTTGAATAAGTACCCGTTCTTCCAATCCTCGGGTACTTTGCCCTCTTTCCACACCTTCTCCAGCAGAGGCGTCATCAAGTCCGCTGTTGTCTCTGGGTCTATTTTCAAAGCTTCTGCTGGGATTCCATCTGGTCCCGGTGCTTTCCCAGCTTTTAGCATCTTGATTGCATTCAGGACTTCTGATTTCGTCGGGGGGTCAGTATTCACCGGTAGTTCTGCTTCCGTTGTTGGTATTGTTGGGCGCGTTGTAGGTGGCGGACGATTTAGAAGTCTTTTGAAGTGTTCAGCCCAGTGCTTTCTCTGTTCCACCTCTTTGGTGATTGACTTTCCATTGTCATCCTTTATTGGCTTAATGTGTGTCGAACTTTTGCCCGAAAGGTTCCTAGTTGTTTGGTAGAGTGTGGCGAGGTCTCCTTTGCCTGCAGCTTGTTCTGCTTCGTTTGCCATGGTTTCATAATATTTTCTTTTGTCTTCCCTGGCACTCTTCTTCACTCTTTTGTTCAGTGTATTGTAGCTTGCATTCAGCTCCTGTTTTTGTTGCTCGTCAGTGCACTGGATAATCTTTTGTTTCACTGTCCTTCTTTCTTCTATTAGTTTCCAAGTGTCTTGACCATATCGTGGCTCTGAATTGACTTTGGTGTCCGTTGTGCAGTGGCTTATCTGATTGGGATCGTTCACACCGAGTCAGTATGCTCCAGTCTCCCCCAGTGTTTGTTTTTTCCAATCGAATTAATAAATCACCTCAATGAATGCAACTTCTTTATGACCGCCAGCATTGCACTCTAATATCTTATGTCCGTGTATTTTTGGCTTACATATATTCATGTGTGAATCGATCGTAATAAAGTTACATTATAGATATGTGGCGTGTGGTACGGACAAGAATTATCAGCGATACATACATAGACCCAAATTGATGTGAAGTAGCCAAAATTGAAAAGAACATTGATTGGAGGATTTCATCACGAGCTGACATCAGTTAGAGAACCACTGGAAAACCTGGGAGTACTGAATAGCTGTTTTGCCCTAAATTGGGACTCATCATCAGTACGCACCCACCACAAAGGGCTCGAACCCAGGATGAGAGTTCGTAGACCATTAATCACCGTGACCCGATCCCATGACCAGCCTATGAATTCTCGCTTCTGCCTTTTTCATGACATAGCGCCACCACTTCGCAATGTCTTCTTTGATCAGTTATTGCCTCATCGTCAACCTGATGTACCCTACTGGTCACAGTTTCCCACTAGAACCTCAGATCACTGGCTGAATATAGCCAGTGGCTAGTGATGTCAACTCATGATAAAATCCTCCGACCAATCAAACAAAAATCCCTACAAAGTCAAATACTTGAAAACAATATTATAAGTGACAGTGACCACAGAAGTAGAGGCGTTTTTATTTCTCAAATCTGAAGGATCTGACTTACGTTGTCGTGAGGAAATATAATCTCAAAGGGGTGTTTAACCTTCAGGTTATCAGTAACCAGTCAAAACAGTTTATTATCCATTGACCTGGTCAATCATAAATGCGGTTAAAAATGTGTAAATATGTGCGTGTGTGTGATTTTTTCCTCAATAAGAAATGTCTGTTACCGAGTCTCTTGCCTTCTCGTGTTATATTCAAATGTGTGAATCGATCATGATAAAGTTACGTCATATATAGGTGTCATTGACAGTGTATGTCAACGATTAGGACGTTATCCTGTATGTGTACCTTTCACTTCAGTATCACAAAGCACAGACACACACACATACACAAAACCTTACATCCAGCTAGTTAGTGGCTTATATTACTTATTCGAATTGTTTACATGAAGCATATAAGATATGATTCCTTCTATATTGCTACAGAAGTGTTAAAATGTATGTTATACAATATTTAATAACGCATAATCAGTTGATTATTTGTACTGTTCATTGGACTCTTATCACTATGCTCTATAATTCCAGATTAGAACATAGGGCTTCAACAACGCGTCATTTTATTCTATTTTATGCTACACTCTTCTGCTGGCTGACGCCACGATTGAACATTGTTTTTCATTTCTTTCTCCTCCGATTCACTCCATCTCCTCCATGTCAACCTCTCACTGACGACCCACTCATCGCTTCCGACTCGGGTTCCACTTGAGCGATGTCCCGCATTGAGCGCGAAGTCATTCGACGGCCTTCTCAACGTATGCTCGATCCATCCTATATGTTTGCCGAGCATTCGGTTGTTGCTTGTTGGTTTGTCCCCAGCCAGCCGGAGTTTCTTGTTGCTAACTGTTTCTTACCGGCCATTTGATCTTCAGTATGGAGAGTCAGCCAGCGAAGGTGGTAGCTGTTGATAAAAGTGTGCAACTGGCTGTTGGAAGTGCTTTTCGTGACGCACTCGCCAAGTTTCTGACCCATATAAAAGAACTAACTGACTTGACATTTGTCTTGAAAATCGGAGTCTTGTTGTTTATGCTGGCTGAGTGAGTGAAGCAGAAGATTTCCAAACTGGTTCCAGGTTGGTGAAGGCGTATCTTGCCTTCACGATTCTGGCTGGCCTGCTTTAACACCTTCATCCGTGCTGTCCGACTGCCTGTGGTTGAAACCGTGCTTTCTAGCCAGATACGTGAAGGAAGTGAACTCTGCCAAATCTCTCCCTTTGATGGTGATTGCTACTGGTTGTAACTGCTGTTGATTGATTGGTTACTGGTATCTTCATCACCTCCGTCTTCTCTATGTTCACCTGGAGTCCTGTCTTCGCTGCCATTGTCTTCAGCCAGTTTGTTGGTTTTTGCCTGCAAGTGTTCGATTTTGTGTATAAATGTGTGTGTGTGTGTGTGACATTAAACATAAATTGTCCACTGCGAAATCCAGATCTTCTAAAGTCTTCTTATCCGTGGTTCAACGTACTCCCGTCTCCTCGCTCCCATACAAAGTCTGGCGCATAATTCAGTCCATCACAATTAGGAAGTATCATCGGTGATAATAGGCGGCATCCTCTTCTTACTCCTGTACGCACTTCGACCACGTCGCTGAGTTTTTCGTTTGGGACCACCTGATACATGACATAGTCATATAGCCAGCTGTTGATAGATTTCATTGACTGGTGCCATGTTTTGACTTGACCGCCGCTATCTCCTTTCCAGCCTGACCCTTTGTCAGCTAACATTGCCTGTTGATGAAAAAGGCGATGACTAGGCATGCATACGTAACACATTTCCTAACCATCTCAGTCGATGTGATTTTACAGCCTCGTCGATTGATTTCCCATCCCACCTACCTAGCAATCGTTGCCTAACCTCAATATTGCTCACCCTACTATAACGCTTCACACGGGAAATAGAACGCAGGCACCTATGATCAAAGACAACTAGCCAGCCTTTTCATGTCTTCCACTCTCAATGGCCAGGTCACACAGCTAGCCATAAAGGAGGATGGAGCGGACTACCGTGTGGTGTCGTATCTCTAAGATTTACAGAGACTTTTAAAATAAAATAATAAAAATTCAATTTTTTTCAATATATCGTTGAGCAAATGATTTAAACCTTCGTCTCCATTATGTTTAGAAAAATCGTGTGTGGCATTATTCACACCATATTAATATCACCATAGCAACTATTTATTATCTGTGTTTCGAAATTTCTATAGTGGACACCCTTTAATAAATTACTTTTATAATATGTTTTGTAATAATAATAATAATAATAGTGTGGTTCTTATCGCATAACTTTGTTTTCCTCCTCTCTTCTCTTGTTTTTATTTTGTCAATAGATAAAAATCGATATTATATGGAATTATTGCGTATTATTGATTCAGATGCTAATCTAAAGAATACTTATATGCATATTTCATCGACGGAGAATTTCAGTGCCAATAGTACTAGTGGTGGTGGTGGCGGTGGAGGGACATCGGGTATAGCCGGAGGAATTGGAAACTCTCCTGCACGTCGCGTTGGCAGCGGCGGCGGTGGTGGATATCCTGGAAGTTATTCATCTGTTCGTTAAGAATACTCATGTGTTGTATCCCTGTGTGTATGTGTGTGTGTGTGTCTTGGTGTAAAACCTACGCACCCCTCTTTACACAGACACACAGAGTCGTATTCAACATTGTTCGCTGTCACAAGTTCTCTTTACAGCAACAATAATCGTATTTAATACTACCACTCTTACTCCTGCTAATTACACCTTTTTTCCCCGTGTTTACATACCTTTCCATGTATGCCTTTTTTTCGAATAACGTGTTGTTGACCAGTTTCGCTTCCCCCCCTCTCTCTCTAAAATTCTGTCGTTTCTCTTATTGTTAGATTGTTAGATATTATACATGAGAAGTAGTCAGTGTTCTATGTTGACCAGCAATTGCCTACTTAGAAGAGGGGTTGTGTTGGAGGTGGTAGTGATGGTCGGGAGAGAATAATGTGTTTTACTTGAGCTTTTTTCTATCCTTCCGTCTATGGCATTATTGTTTTTCTGCCTTCTTACTTTCATTCATCAGTGGAATCGATTCTTTTCCCCAATTACACTAACTAACTAACTAACTGAAAGGTATTCATTTATTTGTTTATTATTATTATTGTTTATTTAACTAACTTGACTATCAATGCACGGAACACACAAACACCCACCCATTCACCCACACTGAAGGTTATTCCTCCTTCTTCTTCAGCTGCATATTCCCTATTCTCATTATTATTATTATGCATCTTCTCTGTTGTTCCACTCTTCTTTTGTATTGTTGGCGTTTTTTGTTGTTGTTGTCGTTGATGTTGCTGTTTTTGGTGTTCATAAGATCACGTTGTTTTTCCAACTCTCTCCCTGTTTATGCCCCAGTCTTCGACCGCCCCTCCTTCTCTTATGGGCGTTTGTTTGTTTGTTCATGTGTGTGTGTATGATCGTCGTTTATTAAAGTGCTACCCACAAAGCCCCTAGGTGTAGCATTGTCAGTCAATGAAGAAAAGGCTTTTTTCTAACCTCATCCTGGTGGGGTGCATTGACGCGCGTAATTGGTGGTTATACTCACTCAAACTCTAGACACACTTACACACACAAACACACACTTATTGACAAGAAAAGTTATGTAACAACTCTTCATCTTTTTTGTTTTTCAACGTTAAATTGATGTAAAATTCATATTCACATATACATATATATATAGTATTATTTTTAAATGTGGAGAGAGGCATAAAACACAGCATGAAAGAAATGGAAAGATAAAAAATTTTGTTCGAACATTTTTTATGATTTTTTGATTTGTGTTTAAATTTATGTGTTCGTAGTTTGTGTGCTACTAGTTTTGCGCAGCTGTGTGCGAATGTGTGTGTGCGGTGGTGGTGGCGGCTGGAGTTTGTTATTGTTTCTGTTGTTGTTGTTGTCGTTTATACGACCTACTGAAATTGAATATTCTACTTCCGGTTAATTAGGTGAAATATAGAAAGTTTAAAACCCTGGTACCCTGGTATTTACTTCACATCCCCTGCGGATATTCATTCCCCTTCCTTAGTGTGTGTTCCGAGTGGAATATAGAGGGATTGAATGTTTGGAGTTTTAATAGCGGTTGCGTTGTTTATGTACACAAGATAGATAAAGGTGCTAGTCTCACCTTCTTACGCCTCCCCCCCCACCCATCCTACCGATCAAGGCACTCTGCTCGAACTCATGCAGCCAGAGGTGAGGGCTTACGGCGAGTTGTCTTCTGAAGTGGTGACAACTAGTAGTGTCCATCAGGGATGCCCATTATCCTCATTTCTATTCAATTTCATCATAGATATACTGATCGATTTATGACCAATTTATACCCTATTGTCCTAATTCATACAGCTCTGGAGACAGTTAGGAATGAACTGGACATGGATCCTGGAATTAAAAACTAGGATTAGGCTGTCAGTTGTTGAAACAATAATGGGTTATCTTTGTTATGTCTAACTATAACCTCCACTATATTCCAATCTCAAAATAAAGTACACAAAAAACTGGTGGGGGGTGGCAATGAGATCACTAATATCCCCAATAGTTGTAGCCATATTTATGGCTAGTTGGGAGCATAAAGCTTTAGAACGTGTTTAATCCTGCTCCTAATTTATGGTAAAGATATATGGATGACATAGATTTACTGTGTCGAAATTTGAACACTATCCATCCCTAAGTTCTCTTCACATGTATAAACCCAGTGGTAGATGGAATCTGATTCATCTTAGAGTTAGATAGTGAACAAAATGAGGTTAGCTAGGCTATAGTGTGAAATAAAAACGAAAGTAAGATGGTGGGTTAGGTGCTACTAGCATTTATATGTAACCGACAGATTCTCTTCTAAATATCTGGACTTCAATTCATCCAGTCGAGAATCGGTGAAGAGTTTAGCTTTAGTTAAATGCCTATGCAATCGGGCCAAGTGCCTAACCAAATAAGTCAGGCGATTTAAATATAATGAAATCAAACAAATAAGGAAACTATTAAGAATTCATTGGAAAATGTTTAAAGACCTGTAAGGAGAATAATAGTTGTGGTGTGAATAATAAGAATAATATCGAATTCAAAGCCTCTCTGTAGTGCTACCGTATAAATAAGGAACGTCAGAGGCCTTAAGTGCTGGGATTCTCAATGAAGTTGGAATTAAGGTGGCATTTAAACCAACTAACTCAGAGATAAACTTTGCACACTTATTAATATGTGTCGAATACTTGGGCAGCACTGTGGTATTAAGTAATTCCATATTAGTTTGTATATTAGATATCACACACACACTCCGCAAGGACCGTGAACAGTGGTGGGTGACAAAGGCGAAAGAGATGGAAAAAGCATCGGCGATAGGCAACACTAGGCAACTCTTTAGACTCATCAGGGAAACGGGGGGAGAAGGCAAATCATAAGTGAGACTATTTCTGAGAAAAATGGCTCCTTAATTAGCTCTCAGGATAGACGCCTTGAACGCTGGAAAGAACACTTTGAGGACAATTTAACTTGCCTACAGCCACACTGAACCTCCCCACATCCAGCACACACCCGAATGGGATATAGACACTGGTCCGCCGTCTGTAAGTGAGGTCACAAAAGCTATCAGTAATTTGAAACGAGGCAAAGCGGCAGGACCCGACGGAATTATTCCGGAGGTGTTTAAATATGGGGGTGACATACTAGTTTGTAGATTAACTGAGGTACTAGGCAAAGTCTGGGAATCAGAGACAGTGCCATCAGACTGGGGTAAGTCACTTATTATACCGATATTCAAGAAGGGAAACAAGTCCTCGTGTGATAATCATAGGGGGATCAGCCTAACGAACATAGTCTCTAAAATCCTAGGCTCAGTAATCATGCATAGACTAAGCAGAACTCGGGAGGAACAGACAAGGGAAAATCAAGCAGGCTTTAGACCAGGTAGAGGGTGCATAGATCATATCTTCACTCTTCGACAGATTCTAGAACATAGACACACTTTTCGGCGTCCAACAATTGTCATATTTCTTGACTTGAAGGCGGCCTTCGACTCCGTGGATCGAAAGGTACTATGGCAATGTCTGACTGTGAAGGGAGTGCCAAGAAAGTACATTGCACTAATCAAGGCACTCTATTCAAACTCACGTAGTCGTGTAAGGGCTTATGGGGAATTGTCATCTGAATTGGTAACAACCAGTGGTGTCCGACAGGGATGTCCACTTTCCCCATTTCTGTTTAACTTCATCATAGATATGCTAATGGAAGTATCCTTAACTGAACGTAAGACTTAGGAATCGACTTGTTACCAGGGAATAGTCTTATGGACTTAGAATATGCAGATGACATAGTCCTGTTAGGGGAGGATGCTGACAAAATGCAGAGTCTTCTGAACACCTTGAGCAGCAATCTTCGTATGTTTGGCATGCGATTCGCCCCTGCAAAATGTAAGATGCTGCTACAGGACTGGACCACGTCAACTCCTAACTTAGTGATAGGGAGTGAAGTGATAGAACATGTTGACCACTTCACCTATTTGGGAAGTTGTATTAGCACCAACGGACTGATTGGCGATGAAATCTCAGCACGGATCCGAAAAGCTCGAGCTGCTTTCGCTGACTTACACCATCTCTGGCGTAGGCGTGACATCCGGTTATCAACCAAGGGACGTGTGTACTGCTCATCAGTTCGCTCCGTCCTTCTCTATGGCTCTGAAACATGGCCAATACGCGTTGAAGACATGAAAAGGTTGACTGCTTTCGATCATAGATGTCTGCGATCTCTGTCTCACGTTAGGTGGTTTCACAAGGTAAGTAATGTTGACGTTAGGCGTAGAGTGTTGGGCAAAGAGGGAAAATCAATCGACGAGGCTATAAAGTTACATAGACTAAGATGGCTAGGTCACGTGCTGCGCATGCCTAACCACCGCCTCCCCCGACGGGCATTGCTAGCTGATATAGGTGCAGGTTGGAAAAGAGCCAGTGGTGGCCAAACAAAAACATGGCATCAATCCATGAAATCCTTGACAGTTAAACTGAGTCAGGTAGGGAGATGCAGACTCCCGGGTTGGGGCCCTCGGGACTCTAGGAATCAATGGCTGGAGACAATAGGTGACATGGCTCAAAATCGTTGTCAATGGCCAGCGAAGATGTATTCAGTCTCTGTAATCTTTCATATTCCTTTCTACCATTACCCATTCTGTTTCACTCTTATACTTGTCAAACTCTATTGATTCTCTTCACTCATCTTCTTGTCTACCTCTGTGTGCTATTTGGAAGGTGGCAACTCGAACTGCTGCACTTCGGTGCCAAGTTCTATGTTGAATCCAGACAAACAGACAGATATCACACACACAGTGAAACAGTATTATTTACTGGATGACGTTTCGAACAAAATGTATTGCTGTTCATAATCATTTCATCAATTATAATCATACTACTTCGAAACTTCTGTTTTTTAACAGTTTTCGTTATTCTTTCCTACTTGTCGTAGGGGAACAACGAAGGAACCTTGGAAACCTTGTGTAGAATTCGTAACGAGGCAGGCAGGAATAAAAGTGGCTGGCATTCAAACCCACAAAC